GTTAAAGAAATTTTGCACGGGAGGTGTTTTATTTACGTAAGACAACTTGTGTGCTAGGTCGTGTGATAAGTCGTAGGTTGATTGCAAAAATCATGTTTACTTATCGAATATTTGTACTGAATAGTAGATTCATGTGTAGAAATATTCCTCAAAAAATGATAATCGCCTATATATATTTTCCTGTGAAGTATAAAACCTTGATGTGAAAACGGGGACTGTTGGAATAATAATTAATATTCTATATATCAGGAAGTATTTCACAATATATAAATATGTTGTTTATCTGTATAATAAAAATACGTAGTTGTTAACCAGGAAATGTTATAGAAAAACAAAGTTGTTTTTGTAAGCACACGTGTATGTGTAGACGCGTGCAACCTTGTGGGTTAATATAAATAGCATTTGATCTAAGGGCTCGGGGCTCAGTATTTTTATTCAGTTTATACATATTACTAGTGTATTATTGTTTCACTGTGTTGTATATATTCTATGTATAATATATCTATTATTGTAATAACTTTATTTGTGTTAAATACTTGATTATCATTACTACTCGCACACTGATACTATATTTATGTATAGTATTACAACAGGGACTCTCGACCATTGCAATAAAAGTGTTAAAAATAATAATTATTAGGTTTAATCTCATAATTATAAACTACATTATTGGTAAAAACGCCAGTTAAAAAAATCAGATATATACATAGTAAGTTAAGTAAAAAGTTTTCGCGGACACGAAAGTTGTGCTTTCGCACCACTCCGTGTGCGACCACCGCCACATGTTGCAGTTACGCCTTACGCTCAAAAACTCCGCTAGGTGGCGCACCACCAAAATAGACGTGTCCACGCAAGCGAATTTGATTCGGACCAAAAGCCTGCCCACGGGGGGGTTTTGAAATCCGAAAAAAAGGTTTTAAGATACCAGGGTCCCAGAAGTTAAAAATCTAAAATACGTCTGTTCCGGCCGTGTGTGTAGATCGGAACAAAGGACTGCCGAGTAAGGCCCACCAAGTCACTATTACAACATGCGATTGGCTCTTTCATAACAACAGTGACAATCCACAGGATAAAGAACAAGAACTAAAGACTCTGATAGCATAAAAGAGAGCGCTTAAGAGTAATAACGTGGTCCCTACGTGGACCGATAAGGCTGGAGGGAGCATTCTAGCACTTAGCAAATCCTTGCCAACCTGCCAGCAGGTAAGAACCGGGGTTACAATTGTCCACACAATCAAGGATGGCTCAAAAACAATTGAAAATACAATCCCTGACCAATGCCCCCACAGATTCGGAGGAGGGAGGGGGGTGGACATTATGGATCACACGACAGGAAACCGGCAACTGAAACCACTGGAGATTTGGAAATCGGAGAAGCGAAGCTGGTACACGAAATCAGCGAGCTCGAGGAAAAGCTATGGGAACTGGAGACGTCACAATTCTACAGGAGTTATTATAAATAAGAGCGATAAAATCACTTTCAAATAAACGCATTGATGCTAATTATTGAACACTGCACCTCACTGTAATATGTTCTTACTCTGCTGGTTTATACTGTGCTTTGTGTAGACTTGGTTTGAAAATTACAACTAGTGATTCGCTTTGGAAAGTAATTTTATTTCTGCTCTTGAAGAGAAAATAGAAAAAAAAGTAAATGTACTTCGAATCACCGTTTGGATCTGATATGGCCACACAGTCAAAAAGAAAATGGGTTATCTCCTGCTTTTCAGATACGCCTAGTGTTGATCAAACAACCTACGATTCCTTTCAAACAAACTGTACCAGTAAATACCACAACACAAAAAGCCCCTTGGCCCGTTAGTATTAAAAAACGATAAATAAGTATGCTACTGTATTATTCTTGCATATTATTAAAAAATGTGTACTACACATAATTATTATTTTTGCATGATATATTATTGTTATTAGCTTTTTTTGTTGGTAGTGTAAAAATAAATGCTTGCTTTACAAGCATATTGCACGTAACTATTTTAATTTTTTTGTTTAATTTATGAATAAGACACAATGATCTGATATAGCCTCACAGTCAAAAATAAAATGGGCTATCTCCTAACTATTCAGATACGCCTATTGTTGATCAAACAAACTACGATTCTTTCACACAAACTGTACCAATAAATACCACAACACAAAAAGCCCCTAAGCCAGTTAGGATTAAAAAACGATAAACCAGTATGCTACCGTATTATTGTTGCATATTATTAAAAAATGTGTACTACACATGATTATTATTTTTGCATGATATATTGTTATTAGCTTTTTCTGTGGGTATTCATATTGGAGTGTAAAAATAAATGCTAGTTATAGTTTATACATCTTACCGCCCCATTCGAAGAAATAGTTTATTTTCATAAAAAGTAAATCCATGTTGATTTTTTTGCCACATAGCATGTTTAATTTTTCACTACTTTTTTAAAAATATAAAGGAAAAAAATTGGTAAATTAACATGTCGTGTTTTCAACTGAAATTCTCAATAGCTTATGGTATATTACATAAAGTGAATGATGATATTTCAATAATATAACCTGCAGCCTGCATTAAAAATACTTGTCTCACATGTATGTCATAAAAAAAATTGATTCACTAGTGGATTAGTTTATCAGATATAATTAAAGGAATAAACTCTAGGGTTTTTCCGATTTTGACAAAAGCTATTAAATCCAAAAAAAGTTTATTACACGGAGTGCAGTTTTGACAATTTTGTTTGTCACTAAAAATAACTAAATAAATAAAATTCAAGACTGAATAATGGTAATAATAATTATTATAATTATAATATTCAAAACTCTTAAACTCTTAGTCCTTTTGGCTAAACAACAATGGTAATTAAGTAATTTCTGAAATGATAATTCTAAAATTATTTCGACATCGGTCAAGTTAAGGTCATTCCTAATTTTTTGAAGAATATCACATAACTACCACGTTGTAAAAACTGAAAAACTTGTGATATTAAAATGATAATTAAAAAATTATGTCGGCATTGGCTAAGCTAAGGTCATGTCCGATTTTTGTATGATATTAAAATGATAATTAAAAAATGATTTCGACATTGGCCCAGCTAAGGTCATGCCTTACTTTTTGAAGAATATCACATAATTACCACGTTGTAAAAACTAAAAAAAATTATGATATTTAAATGATAATTCAAAAATTATTTCGGCATCGGCCAAGCTAAGGTCATGCCTAAATTTTTTAAGCATAAACATAATTAACACATTGTAAAAACTGAAAAAAATAATTATATTGAAATGATAATTAAAGAAATTATTCAGCATTGGCCAAGCTAAGGTCATGCCCGATTTTTGTGTGATATTAAAATGATAATTGAAAAATTATCATTTTTAGTATTTAATATTTGGGTATTTTGAACTAGTAAACAAAGTCAAAACATTCAGTTTTACATATATTATTAGTACATTATTTTCTAGTATTCACTAAAAATAATAGTTTATAATAGATAAATCAAACTATGTATGAATAATTAATTATTTCCAAATAATTATAGAAAATAATTTATGAAGGGGTTTTGTTCAAAATGTAGGTAATTCGTATGAGAAAAAAAACCGTTTACCTGAAAAAAAAAAATACATAAAAAGTGTTTTTTTAATTCTGATGCGTTATAATTTTAAAAATTTGTTAATAACAATTGTTCAACCAACAAAAATATATTTAATTAAACAAACTTAACCCTTTTCATATAATAACAAGTTACTTAGTCCCCACTACGTTTGCTGCTAGATCAGTACTAAAATCATGCTGAAACCAAGTATAAATTATATTATTAACTCACTCGGTATTTTTTTTATAAAAACAAGATTGTGAGTTCATAAAAACGTTATAAGAACCCTACGAAAAACGCTCTAAGATACCGATCAGTGTGCACCAAGTCGGATGATAGTTTTCAACGTCTATAGAGATTAGAGCAGAAACAACAGACACTTTGATCGTTAAGTTACAACGTGAAAAAATTAGCGTCAACAATTGTTCCATCGATGCCCTAACTTTGAGGGAATTTACAATTTTCATCAATCTAAAAATAAGACAAAATTAAAAACAATTTTTTTTATATTTGTCCACAACATAAATTGCTTTTTTTTTTTTATAAAAAATTAACCCCCATTCTACGGACTTCTTGTTGTATACCCAGATGCCAGATGGAAAGTTTTTTATTTATACTTTAGTACACTAGTGCCCAGTGTCAAATTGGATATTAAACACTTAGGCTTGAGACATTTTGAGATATATAGGAAAAGGTCAACGAGAACCCGCATTTGGCAACATAACAACACGCCTCGAATTAAATATTTATTTATTTCCAGTGATAGACACCGTATCCTTTAGGAACAATTTATGATTGTAACAATAGCTAATATTTTTATAAAACTCAATTATTAATTGTTTACCATAGTGACATACGTTGAAATTTAATATGAGATATTAATTATGCACTGTTTGTAAAATCATACAATAATAACATTTTTATTCCCAATGTAAATAACACAAGATTATACCGTGAAAAATATTCGTACACATATTATAATGATGAATAAATATTTATATAAATATATTATAATCGTTCACACACAAACATAATAATTAACAATACAGTATATTAAAATTTTATTCTAATTCCCGAGGAATAAATGCTATATGGTTATTGTTTACAAGTAGCAAGTAAGGAACCTTACAAACAGAACATTTTTCTGAAACTATTTTAATAGTATTGCAGAAACACATAAGAACGGACTTGTCCTTTGTAGAGTAAAATCGTAAGTACACAAAATTATTTTCTAATGATATTATATTCTTCGAACTATGCAAATGTTTGAATAAAATACATTTATATAATAATTTTTGATATCCTAGTCATATATATTTCTCTACTCGCCTGTTTGCAGTAACGTCAGTGGAAAACAAATTCTGTGTGTTATAATAATTATAACCGGAACTACTTACAAATAACAAAATCGAACATACCATGGAATTTGTAAATCAAGTGGCTTTAGTTACTGGTGCAGCGTCTGGAATCGGTTATGCTTACACCAAGTACTTACTTCAAAATAATGTTAAGGTATGTATATTTACTTATATATATATATTATAAAAGTAATAAAAATATACTTCTGATGGTAGTGATACAATAAATTGATCACGCCCATAAAATGAGAAATTTATGTTGTTGACAAATATAACCCATAAACTTCTTGAGTGATAATTGATTTTCTTTAGATGAAGTGGTAGGAATAAAATTTAAAAAGTTCACCCAATTCTACTTCGGATTTGTTTTTATACTATTCAGGCTAAAAACTAACAAAACAATTGATTTTTTTAAAAAAAAGAAGGAAACCCCTTTTTGAAATTATTTTCAAGAAAAAACAATTTGAGCTTAGTCGAATTATCTCATAGTTCATATGAAATATTCTTTAGTAATATTTTTATATGTAAATGGATGGAAACTTGTTCCTTTTGTAGCTTTTTGTATGTGTATTTCTAAGCCTCACTGATAGACTTAAAATTAGACTGAATGTACATTTAGAGTGGTTCCATAACCTAAACGATGCCTTGAAATATTTTAGGCAATTCGATTTTAATTAACAACACAATTTCAACCTTCATAACAAAATCTCTTTTTTTAGGTAGCGCTTTGTGACATAAACATCAAGCAATGCCAATCCGTTTCCAATGAATTTGCACAGATCTTCGGCCACGATGAAGTCTTAGCGTTACATTGTGACGTCACTAACGATGTGATATTTGAAAGTAATAATTATAACTTAGATTGTAATAATTTATTCTACACAGTTTTTAGTTTAAACGCTAATATTTATTGAAAAATAAGGCAAACGCTAAATAACTATTATAAAATATGCGTTTTTTTTTTAAATTAAATTAAATAATAAATTATATTATTAAATTTTACTAAAGTTATTTCTTAAGTCACGAATAACTTTCTTCGTATGTACTGTAAGTACATACTTACTTTACTTATTTGTAAAAAAAAGTTAATATTTTAATCACCACTAATTTTATTTCTACGCAATAGTGAAATTAGTAATATATGACTAATTTGTTGTTTTGCTTACTATTAGATTAAAATAATCATGATTAAAAAATTAACTTAATTAAACACTAAAATGACAATTTTTCAAGTCAGCTTTGAACTCGAATAAAAAATGTCCAACTCTGTTCATCGAATACCAACTCTTTGGTGCGAAGCTAAGCATAGGCTATTTCTGTCCACCTAGCTAAAACGTCATAAAGATTATGATGTTGTGTAATTATTTTTTAGATGCATTCAAGTCGTGTATAGACCACTTTAAGAGATTGGACATAGTCGTCAACAATGCGGGAATATATAACGAAACGATGGAAAAGTGGGAGTCTACAATTAACGTTAACTATGTAGGTAGCTTGAAAGCCAATGATTTGTTTAACTTATATTTATAATTAGAAAAAATCGTTTCAATCTTTACCTTTATACGACAGACATTAAATCGTGGGCATGTCGTTTGGTCAGCAAATGTTCTGTTTCTTATCAGCTGATTCTCTAGTCCAATATATCTTATCAGTTATCCGAATTTCCACTTATGCCTATACCATGCCCGCCTCATCTTCCAGAGTAATATAGAGGAGCCAAGTGACTGCTTCTTGCAGTGCAGCTACTTTAGAAGAAACACATTTCTAATACGGTTATTGGTAAACAATAATTGTTTTAGAACAGAATGACTATTATTCAGAAGAAAAACAGCCATTGAGATCATAAATTTCGTTACTAAAATTCTGGAAAAATGTATTGTAGTCAGAAATTTCTTCTTTGCTGCCGAAACTGATTTCACAAATTTTGAGTTAAGAAATGAAAAGTGTCACCAGAACTAAGAGAAAAATAATACTTATCTTTATACCGTCTACACTGATTAGCCCGTAGGTGTGACAAAAATAATCTCCCATAAGAACTCATGTAATTCTTAAAATGTTTCTCTGTTGGTTGTTTTGTGATATTATCTCAAATCGTGTTCATGATCTGTAATCATGCAGCTTGTCAAAATATATATATTTTATGCATTTATTTATTTTTTCTCTTTATTTGTAGTCAAAATATAAAGAGGGGTCACTTGTCCGTTGTCGAACCAATGTGGTATGCAGGCGATGTAGGGAACGAAACGACTCCTCTATACTATTACTCTTTGCCAGCTGATTCTTTTATCAATATTCTCTTACAGTCATCCATGAGTTATCGATTTCACCTTATTACTATCCCATCTCCTATCTACTTTCATTGTGTTACGTCATGCGATCAAAGGCGTCACGAAACTTTTATAAACAGACTTCAGAATGTTCTTCAGAATGTTTTTTTCCTTAGGGAGGTGTGGTCAGGGGCACTATGTTGGCGATTAAGTATATGGGCAGACCGTACGATGGCAACGGAGGAACTGTTGTGCAGACTGCGTCCATAGCTGCTTTTATGGGAAATTTGTTTATATGTCCAATATACAGATCTACAAAACGGGCCATCGTAGAATTCACCAGAGCGATCGGCGTAATATATTGCAAACACATTATATTATGTTGATGTTTGTACGCTTTAAGTGAGTTTTATGTTAAAGGACAAGAAATCATTCGAGCATTTAAACGTCAGAATTATGGCGCTGTGTCCGGGATACGTAAGGACGCCAATGATTGAAGGCGACAGGTCCAGTGTGTACTTGATCAAAGAGTACGGTAAAAAAGCAAACGAAATGGTGGCCACGTTACCGGTGCAAATGTATAAACTGTTATGCAATTAGAATTTCGTTTTTATTTAAAAAAATCCGTCAAGTGGATCTTAAGTGTTATTAGCTCCGCGGGGTTTTTAGTTTTGTTTAAAGATAACGAGTCTCTTGAAATCCATTTCCATGTAGTTCACCTTTTCCGCGATCAACTGCTTGGTTTTAGTTTTCAATCATCGAACTTGGGAAATATTATGCATGTGAATTTTAAATATGAAAATATTAAGTATACTGACGACATGCTGGCCATTAAAACCATCGGCTAGTATTTTGTGGTCATGGTCATTTTCTTTCATCCTCTGCACCACCCTTAACTACGATCTTCGCACCTTCCTTCCATTGATGACATATTATCTCGTAAGTTCGTATTTTTTGTCAGCTGTCTTTTATCAGCATCTTTAATCATCACGAACTGGACGTACGAAAACAGACAGCAGAGTAACTTCTGTAGAGTCTAACTTCTAAAAAGTTATAGCGTGTCGTAATTTTAAATTAAAAATTTGTTAATGTTTTGGATGTGTTTTCGATTTTTAAAGGAGAGGGTTGAATTGTAGTTAATCTTGAGTTATTCGTTCATACAGTAAAAAACCTCATTGTATCACAGCTGTAGTCGTGGCCAAATGAAGGTGCGGTTGGTGACTTCACGTTATTTTTCTGGCGGCCAATTAGGAGCCGTATTTCTTTTTTACATATTTTAAAAAATTATTTAAAATAGAACTTGTACCTCATTAAATAATTTTCTTACGAAAAAAATTAATTTCAGATTTGAAATCGGGAAATTAAAATTTTTTGAATTGATATGTAATATGATTTTTTGGTATCCGGCTACACGTGCGTCCACAAGGTGGCCACTAAAATGCCGGCATGTTTTAATATAAAATAATTCTAAGGCCACAAATGAATTGATAAAATAATTCTTACCCAAAATGATGTGTCACATGCCATATGTTGGTTTTGGTCACATGCCGGCCAATCAGTGGCCACTCGGTGGACGCAAGTGAGGCCAGATACCAAAAATTCATGTTACATTTCAATTCAACAAGTTTTTTTGCTTGATCTCAAATGTGAAATTATTTTTTTCGTAAGACAATTTTTTTATGAGATACGAGTTCTATTTTTTTATAATTTTTAAATAAAAAACAATGAATATAATTTATTGTGCTCATAGAGCATCCTGAATGTCTCATTTGATGTTCGGTAAAACTTTACTTTACACCCTGTATATATCGCCAACAGTTGTTGCTCCTTTGTGTCGTATCGTCTCGCGTTGGACGGAATCACCAACCGCACATCAATTTGGCCACGACTATAATTCATGCCAGCTAAAAATATATTATGCAGTTATAACTTTGTATTTTATTATAAAATTGACAAAACGTAATTTTTTCAGACCCGAAAGTGTAGCAAAAGGGTTAATCGAAATACTGAAACACGGCGAAACCGGCGACTGTTGGATAGTGGAAAACGATGAAAAACCGCGACCGGCTAACTTACTCGACATACCGTACTGATGAAACTATAGATTGATAATGAATAATCATAGAATTTTTATTGAATTTGAATTTATATAAAACAGTTATTATTAATTTTTCAAGTATAAAACGGAGAGGGTGCACTGAAAAGTATTTTTACAATAAATTATAATATGACTAAAAAATTACTTACTTAGTATTTTTCTTAGCTTTATCAACTTATATTTAGTTTATATAAAACAGATAAACAACTCTATTCGCTTCAAATATGTGTTCATGTTCACGGTTACTTTCATCCTCTCCTCTTTCTTCTCTTTTCCTTTCCATCTTCTCATCATTCTTCTCCTCCTCTCAATTTCCTTGTTCCTTTCTCTCGTTTACCATTTCTGTCCCTACTATTCTCTTCGCCATCAAACTCATGATGTCTCAAGTTCAGGTAAGGCTTAACCTTAATGTAACCAAACCGTACTTGTATTATACAAATCTAAACTAATCCTACCATAAGCGTGACGCTAATTTTCGACAAACCCCCAACCATGAGACATATCATTCATGTCAATAGATTGATAAGTTTTTAGGTCTTCATCACCACCGGTTAGTGTTTAGGTTTATGGTGATGTTCATTTTTCTCCGCTCCCTCCATTACAATATTCTCACCACCCTTCATCTAAATGTTCTTACATACCCTTTCTTCACTCTATCTACAAATTTACTCCCCGTCCCTACATTTGTTGAAAACTAATTTATGTTTTAAATATAGACCCACAATATTTCTTTGACATAATATATTTCATAAAACTATAATAATTTGAGCTGATTAAGTTATTAGTTTATATTTTTCACCAGTGTGTCTTCATTTTTGAGACATAATTGGTGTATAAACCAAAAAAAAATAATAATAATAGTAATATGGTTTTAGATTTAGGTATGTTATAGGAATTAAAAGGTGTACATTAATAATTCTTAAATATATTTTGTTTAAGTTGAAGATGTACTATTGAAAATGTTTCTTTCAACTTGCAATCTTCGAAGAAGTATATAATAATACTACGGTTAATTAAACTCATAATTTTATGTCGAGTCATATTAAACATAAACTCATAAAAACATTTTTTATTAGCACTATTAGTGAAATGCTTATAAGAGTAGTTTTTTCACTTGAAAGTCACTTTATAATATACAGGGTGACCACGAAAACACATTATTTTTTCAAAAAATTAAAATAATACTAATTTTTCGAACAAATTTTTTTAAAACTTATGTGACATGTTTATGGGTGTATGCCATTTATTTTACGACAATTTTCGAGAAAAAAAACATTTTATTTAACTTGTTATTATGTAAAATTATGATTCACAAGTGTACACCATTTATTTTACGGTCCCCTACTTTGGATGATTTGAAAGTGGCAATTCGTACAGAGGTGGCACTAATCACGAGGGAGACACTAGAACGAGTGAGGAAGAACTTCCTCGAAATAATTGAAAATTGCCTCATGGAATACTCATGAATATCACCTTCCTTCACATTCCTGACCTCATGTTTGCTACTTGAAGAAAATGGCTAACACCTGCAAACATTCTATTACATAATATCAAGTTAAATAATAATTTTTTTTTCTTCGAAAATTGCAGTAAAAAAAATGGCATACATCCAAAAACATATTACATAAGTTAAAAAATTGTTTTTTTCAAAAATTTATATTATTTTGCCTTGTTGAAAATGTTAAGTGTTTTCGTGGTCACGCTGTATATTACTCTTATTTTTAATGTAAATTTGAGTTAGATTTGATGTTTTGCGGTCTAATTCTCAGTTCTAAACACTTAAAATTAAACGTTTTTAAACATTAAGTTAGATTTTTATCGACCACATTGTTGTTAGTACAGTTACATTATTAAGTATGATGTATAAGAACATTGCCTTTGAGGAATACTTATATTTTACAATATTTACAAAACAAAAATACATTATCAGTTTATTCATTGTGATTTAATTATGACCATACAACAATAGGTCCTTATCGAATGATTTTAACTAGTCTGGACAACATTATTTTCGGTTTTGTACATCCGGTTTACAATAAGATTCGTTATTGATATAACGATACAAACCATAAGCGAACCTATACCGAATATTCTAAAAGCATCTATGATTCCTAAATTCTTAATCACATAACCTCCAACAAAATTTCCCATCGAAATACCTAAAAGAATACAAAATATCTGTAAATTAAACCAATATTATTGTACACAAAACAATAAATCATCAATGTAGATGAATATAAACTTCAACTATTGCAAACCTATGCCCTTCATGGCCATTCCAACCAATCCCTGCATCGTCCCTTCTGCACCAACTGGAGCCAGTTTAGCGGCATACGCGACTCCGGCAGAGTACGGTAGTGCGAAAGTGATTCCATGAAGTATTTCAACGCTCAAAGCAACCACCGGATTTTCAATAATCGAATAAAGAATAAATCTGATTGCATAACCGATAAACGTCAATGAAAACACGTTCATATGACCCACCTTTTTTATTATATAACCTTATAAATACAAGATAACATTTATGTTATTTGCAATTTTTATTCCATGCCTAAACAAACAAATTATCACTTACTAGAAACAAAATAGAACGGTATTTCACCTAAAAAACATTGAATAGTCTGAGAAAGCCCTTGAATAGTTTTTATATAGGGTTCATATTCAGGATGATATAAATTGGTTATGTCTTCAAGGTACCTAAATGTGGAAATAAAAAAAATATTTATTGTTAGTTAAAATTTTACAAGGTGAATAAAAATGGTTATTATTTGTTTTCTTCAAAATTATGTTTTGGAATCTATATATCGATGACACGGTACACAGATATGTACAGGTTGGTCAGTTTATCGTGAACCACACAATATGTCACAGGGTTGATAAGAAATTATTTTTTTATAACTTTTTTTTATACAATATGATTCCTATTTTTCCCATCCTAACTTTAAAACTTATAATATTAAAAATAGTTATCCGAAACTAGTTATCTTGTTGACTGGTTACCAGTCAAAATTTTTAGTACACTATTCTCAATTTAAAAAAATTAATGAATCGTTTGCGTTACGTTTTATGTTTGAAAAGTGGCCATCAAAATAATAAGTTAAGAGTACTGTAAAAAAATGTTAACTATGAAAAATTGAGATCATACTTTATAAAAACAATTAATAATTTATAATTTAATCCTATGATATGTTGAGTGGTTCACGACAAAATGTTCACCCTGCATAAGCGCATTTCTTTTTTTTTTTTGGTATTAGGTAAAGCATAAAAAATAGTACTTAAAATTGCCCATTACAATTATTTTTGTACGAATATTGGATCACAAAGATTCATGTTTTCACTGTTAGAGGACTTGCAATTATATAAAACACACCCCATGATATAGAGTTATAAATATTATACAAAATGTTTCCTGCAAATAAAAAAAGAAACGAACAACTGTGGACTATGCTATCCATATGATGTATATATTTTTTTTTTTTTTGAGATATTGTATCTTACCAGAAAAGAAAAAACAGAATTAAGGTATAAAAGAATCCGAACGAAATGGTTGCAGTTAAAAATACGATTACTCTAAAATCAGTTAAAACTCTTTTCATATTGCCACTAAAAGTTTCTGTTTTTTTAACTTGTTCAACCTGAAATTATACAGATTTATAGTGTACTTTATTAGAAAAACCTCTGTACCGAAATGATATAACTTTACAATAATAACAGATAGTATAATTAACAGCCTCTCAACATTTTTAAGGTTTCGGTAATCACCATATTAATTTGTTTGATAGAACAAATTGGGTGAAACCAAAATGTATTCTAAATATGGTTTACCTTGATTTTAGCTGAAACGTAAATGTCGAAGGCTACGCATATTAATGTTATCACGAATCCGGGTCTAAAGTCTTTATGAGCTTGTCCTTTGCTTAACCAGTCGACCACCACCCCAGACACTATAGAAGTTATACCGTAACCAATTGCTCCCCAAACTCTTTGTTTTCTGTAATTGTGTACATTGTCTCCTGGCGAAGAAAAAAAAAATTTTTATTTACGAATAATATTGTAAAAAAACAAAATAGATTAATGTTACATTCTACCTAAGCATGAAAACATATTTTATGATTTGTGAAAAAATGCTTATCAACTAGTCACTGATGAGTATACCTAGTAGACTGACACAGATCGTATCCTCCATGAGCGACCGCATTACAGATCCAAGGCACACGAAAAACAATAGAAAAAAGAACACCCATTACAGCAAGGTCTGTATTGCCATGTGGGAGCATACCAAATAAATATTCCCTATGAATTTCAATTTGATCCGACTCTTTTTCTCAAAATTATAGGCAGCAAAAGTCCAAACTTTATAACTCGTATGGGTTTTTTTGTTATTTTCAAATTTTAACTGTGAAGAAATACATTTTTTCAACTTTTACCCCCCCTCCCCAAAGAACCAGCTAGATAAAATTAACTACAATTTTATATAAAGTTAAACGTTTTAAATTTTTGACTAAAAAGAAAAGCGTGGGTCCTATTCAGCAAAGTCTCTACTAAACGTATCAGACAACATTTCAGATAATGCATGATATTGTATGTTGTTGTCATAATTTAAATTTGGTTCAATATTAGTGCGTGACACATACATTTTATAATACTTAACTCAATGAATTTGGACTTTGTTGAATAGGGCCCACGCTTTTATTTATAGTAAACAATTTAACGATATTTTACATTATTTAAAACTGTAGTTAATTTTCGGCTGTTTTAAAAGTAATTGACATTTTATTTTAAAATGTGCTACAAATGATTGGTAAATTGTTTTTGTAGTAAAATTGATTTTTTTCATCCAGCATGAAAAAGTTATTTGTCGAGATAATTAAAAAAAACTTGTTTGTGAAAAAATAGTTGTCCGAATAAAAACAAAATATATTCGAATCATCTAAGAAAGAATAAGTTGTTTATTTTTTATTGTTTCGTTGAAAAGTAGTAGCAATTTTTTTTATTAATTATAAACGTTCTATTTCTATATTTTTTAACATTAGCCTACGCGCCTGTTCCGTTTTTCGCCACTATTGGAAAACAACGAGGTTATTCCGCATTGGTGATGGGAATCACTTTGACCGGTTTGCAGATACCTAGTCTTGTTGTACGACCTACGCTAGGAAGCATCGCGGACGCCTACCAGAGCCGAAAATTGATGTTTCTCATTGGAGAGGTGCTTATAGCAGTAGCAGTTCTCGGATTGATATTTATACCTGGTGCAACGGTCGCAGAAAGTATCGCTGATGATGTCGTGTTTAAGACCTTGCTGTAATGGGTGTTCTTTTTTCTATTGTTTTTCGTGTGCCTTGGATCTGTAATGCGGTCGCTCATGGAGGATACGATCTGTGTCAGTCTACTAGGTATACTCATCAGTGACTAGTCGATAAGCATTTTTTCACAAATCATAGATGTTTTCATGCTTAGGTAGAATGTAACATTAATCTATTTTGTTTTTTTTACAATATTATTCGTAAATAAAATTTTTTTTTTCTTCGCCAGGAGACAATGTACACAAAGAGTTTGGGGAGCAATTGGTTACGGTATAACTTCTATAGTGTCTGGGGTGGTGGTCGACTGGTTAAGCAAAGGACAAGCTCATAAAGACTTTAGACCCGGATTCGTGATAACATTAATATGCGTAGCCTTCGACATTTACGTTTCAGCTAAAATCAAGGTAAACCATATTTAGAATACATTTTGGTTTCACCCAATTTGTTCTATCAAACAAATTAATATGGTGATTACCGAAACCTTAAAAATGTTGAGAGGCTGTTAATTATACTATCTGTTATTATTGTAATGTTATATCATTTTGGTACAGAGGTTTTTCTAATAAAGTACACTATAAATCTGTATAATTTCAGGTTGAACAAGTTAAAAAAACAGAAACTTTTAGTGGCAATATGAAAAGAGTTTTAACTGATTTTAGAGTAATCGTATTTTTAACTGCAACCATTTCGTTCGGATTCTTTTATACCTTTATTCTGTTTATTCTTTTCTGGTAAGATACAATATCTCAAAAAATAAATAAATATATATATATCATATGGATAGCATAGTCCACAGTTGTTCGTTTCTTTTTTTATTTGCAGGAAACATTTTGTATAATATTTATAACTCTATATCATGGGGTGTGTTTTATATTGGACTTTTGCTGCCTATAATTTTGAGAAAAAGAGTCGGATCAAACTGAAATTCATAGGGAATATTTATTTGGTATGCTCCCACACGGCAATAGTCTCAAATTTATACTATACCCATTTCTCATATGCAGTGATCAAATATTTAAATTAATAAAATTGAAAGCTAATAACCTTGGATCAAATTAATGGTTGCTGACTAGAATAATTGGTTTTAACTGGATATATTAAGAATAATTCATATACATAAATCAAATAAAACAACATTAAATCAATTAAACCAATAATACAACATACAACAAACATGACTAGATGACTATTAGAGCCTTGTTATTGGCACCATTAAATAGGGTGTTCCTTAACTCTATCACTTTTCAAGTTGGATGTTATAGTTATTTATATTTACTATTATTTATGCTCCAACCAAATATTGGATTCAAATAAAATGATATAATATAAAAACTCACTAATTACAAATACTGTAGAGCTGCTGTATTCTCACTTACTACTACATACTACTACTCACTTAAGGATAATATTTTCTACCTGTGTTGTTTTGTACAGTACTAGGTTTCGACTGTACTAGAGTTACCCTATTATCCATTGATTCTCATTGAAGCATTTATTTAAAGGTGATTTTATCATTTTCAGTCATAATAATTCTAACTGTTTTTTTATTTTATTTTATTTTTTTTTTTAAATTATTGGAATTAGCTCCAAATTTGTATGGAATTTTAACCTTAAGACAAATTACTATTAACTGCTGTTTAGGAGTATTTAGACATTTTTTTTTTAAATATTTGTATATAATTTCATTTTATTTGAAAGGACGGTAGTTTTTTTCTTCTTAACAATTTTAACTTTAAAGTCATTTATTTTAAAACGTTATAGACTGTGAGACCCTTGTACACACAAAAACGATATTTGAATTTTGAAATCGAGAAAAACACCCAACAAATTTACATATTTTTGAATTTTTAATAGTTCTTACAGACTTGTGATTTTCCCCTGCCCCTTCAATAGGCTTTGTTGACACTATGACCCCATCGCCTATCTACTGGCTTTTCTAGGTATTTTTTTGTTCTGAAACTTACTCAAATCGCATTTATCTGTGAAGAGAATACAATATTACATGACTATTCAAACATGTTTGTATGTTAACTCATTACCGAGATATGGCGCTTAAAAAAATAAGTCATTTTTTAAATTTCGCTAAAAAATGCAGAATTCCACCATTTTTAGTAATACTATAATTTATTGTTAAAATATTTGGGAGTGCATCATCTCCGTTTTATACTTAAACAATTAATAATAACTGTATTATATAAACTCAAAATTGCATTATCGATCAAAATTCTATGATTATTTATCATTAATCTAAAATTTCATCAGTACGGTATGTCGGGTAAGTTAGCCGGTCGCAGTTTTTCGTAACTTTGTAGATAGAGTGAAGAAAGGGTATGCAAGAGCATTTAGATGAAGGGTGGTGGAGAATATTGTAATGGATGGAGCGGAGAAAAATGAACATCACCATGAACCTGAACACTAGCCGGTGGTGGTGAAGACCTAAAACTTATCAATCTATGGACATGAGTGATATGTCTCATGGTTGGGGGTTTGTCGAAAATTAGCGTCACGCTTATGGTAGGATTAGTTTAGATTTGTATAATACAAGTACGGGTTGGTTACATTAAGGTTAAGCCTTACCTGAACTTGAGACATCATGAATTCGATGGCGGAGAGAATAGTAGGGACGGAAATGATAATCGAGAGAAAGGAACAAGGAAATTAAGAGGTGGAGAAGAATGATGAGAAGATGGAAAGGAAAAGAGAAGAAAGAGGAGAGGATGAAAGTAACCGTGAACATGAACACATATTTAAAGTGAATAAAGTTGTTTATCGGTTTTTTATAAAGTTAACATAAATTGGTAGAGCTAAGAAGAATAAAAAGTAAGTAATTCTTTAGTAATACTATAATTTATTTTTAAAATACTTTAAGTTAGCCGGTCGCGGTTTTTCATCGTTTTCCACTATCCAACAGTCGCCGGTTTCACCGTGTTTCAGTATTTCGATTAACCCTTTTGCTACACTTTCGGGTCTGAAAAAATTAAGTTTGGTCAATTTTATAATAAAATACAAAGTCATAACTGCATAATATATTTTTAGCTGGCATGCATTATAGTCTTAACCAAATGAATATGTGGTTGGTGATTCCCCCCCAACGCAAGACGATACGACAGACAGGAGCAACAGCGCTTGGCAAAATATACAGGATGTAAAGTAAAGTTCTACTGAGCTTCAAATGAGGCATTCAGGATGCTCTATGAGCACTATAAATGGTATTAATTTTTTTTTTTTTAATTTAAAAAAATAGAACTCGTATCTCATAAAAAATTGTCTTATGAAAAAAATAATTTCAGATTTGAGATCAAGAAAAAAAATCTTGTTGAATTTAAATGTATCCAGTGGCCACACTTGCATCTACCGAGTGGCCATTGAGTGGCCGGCATGTGACCAAAACCAACATATTATGGCATGTGACACATCATTTTGGGTAAGAATTATATTATCAGTTCAATTGTGTCCTTGGAAATATTTTATATTAAAATATGACGGCCTTTTAGTGTCCACCCTGTGGACGTATGAGTGGCCAGATACCAAAAAATCATGTTACATATCAATTCAAAAAGTTTTTTTTCCCGATTTCAAATCTGAAATTATTTTTTTCGTAAGAAAATTATTTAATGAGACACGAGTTCTATTTTAAATAATTTTAAAATTTGTAAAAATAAATACGGCTCCTTATTTGCCGCCAGAAAAATAACGTGCCGCATCATCACCTTCATGTGCCCACGACTATAGCTGAGATTACAATAATGTTTTTTTACTGCGGACCAAATAACTCAAGTCTAACTAGAATTCAACCCTCTCCTTTAAAAATTAAAAAAACATCCAAAACATTTACATATTTTCAACTTAAAATTACGACACGCTATAACTTTTTTTTAACAGCCCAATTAGTTCAATTTTGTACGGAATATTCTTTAGATAAAATACTACCGATAAATGTTGACAAACCAAAAAAAGACCACAAACCCTTTGTCCTAGAAGAGGTGGACATTTTTAGAAAAGTTTTCGGGTTTTAGGTCTGAAGATTAGTCAGAAAGTAGATCTAGAACCGAGCTATAACATATAATTGATCCTTATATTTGTATTTCTCTCCTTTCCTCTCCTCTGCTCTCTTCCTCCGGTAATGTAGCTTTACTTAATCAAACCTTACCTAACTTTCCGTTGTCGCAATGGCGCTAATTCCAAATAGACTGAATCCAAATAAATGTTCACGTCGAGTTACGCCTGATTTTAGTTGCTTACCTTTAGGGGTTAGACACAACAGAAGTTACTCTGCTGTCTGTTTTCGTACGTCCAGTTCGTGATGATTAAAGATGCTGATAAAAGACAGCTGACAAAAGAATACTAACTTACGAGATAATATGTGATCAATGGAAGGGAGGTGCGAAGATCGTAGTTAAAGGTAGAGCAGAGGAGGGAAAAAATGACCATGACCACAAAACACTAGCTGATGGTATTAATGGCCAGCATGTCTTCAGTATACTTAATATTTTCATACTTAAAATTCACATGCATAATATTTCCTAAGTTCGATCACTGAAAACTAAAACCAAGCAGTTGATCGCGGAAAAGGTGAACTACATGGAAATGGATTTCAAGAGACTCGTTATCTTTTAACAAAACTTAAAACCCCGCGAAGCTAATAACACTTAAGATCCACTTGACGGATTTTTTAAGATAAAAACGAAATTCTAATTGCATAACAGTTTATACCTTTGCACCGCTAACGTGGCCTCCATTTGTTTTTCCATTTTACTGAACTCTTTGATCAAGTACACACTGGACCTGTCGCTTTCCATCATTGGCGTCTGCGAGAATCCTGGACACAGCGCCATAACTCTGACGTTTAAATGCTCGAATGATTTCTTGTGCTTTAACATAAAACTCACTTAAAGCGTACAAACATCAACATAATATAATGTGTTTGCAATATATTACGCCGATCGCTCTGGTGAATTCTACGATGGCCCGTTTTGTAGATCTGTATATTGGACATATAAACAAATTTCCAACAAAAGCAGCTGTGGACGCAGTCTGCACAACAGTTCCTCCGTTGCCGCCGTACGGCTTGCCCATATACTTAATCGCCAACATGGTGCCCCTGACCACACCTCCCTAAGGAAACAAAAAAATTCTGAAGAACCTTCTGAAGTCTGTTTATAAAAGTTTCGTGACGCCTTTGATCGCATCACGTAACACAATGAAAGTGGGTAGGAGATGGGATAGTAATAAGGTGAAATCGATAACTCATGGATGACTGATAAGAGAATATTAATAAAAGAATCAGCTGGCAAAGAGTAATAGTTAAGAAGAGTCGTTTCGTTCCCTACATCGCCTGCATACCACATTGGTTCGACAACGGACAAGTGACCCCTCTTTACATTTTGACTACAAATAAAGAGAAAAAAAAAAATAAATGTATAAAATATATATTTAGGCAAGCTGCATGATTACAGATCATGAACACGATTTGAGATAATATCACAAAACAACCAGCAGAGAAACTTTTTAAGAATTACATATGTTCTTATGGTAGAATTTTTTTGTTACACCTACGGGCTAATCAGTGTAGACGGTATAAAGATAAGTATTATTTTTCTATCAGTTCTGGTGACACTTTTCATTTCTTTACCCAAAATTTGTGAAATCAGTTTCGGTGGCAAAGGATAAATTTCAATTAAGGACGATTTCTGACTACAATACATTTTTCCAGAATTTTAGTAACGAAATTTATGATCTTAATAGCTGTTTTTCTTCTGGGTAATAGTCATTCTGTTCTAAAACAATTATTGTTTACCAATAACCGTATCAGAAATGTGTTTCTTCTAAAGTAGCTGCACTGCAAGAAGCAGTCACTTGGCTCCTCTATATTACTCTGGAAGATGAGGTAGGCATGGTATAGGCATAAGTGGAAATTCGGATAACTGATAAGATATATTGGACTAGAGTATCAGCTGATAAGGGACAGAATATTTGCTGACCAAAAGACATGCCCACGATTTAATGTCTGCCGTATAAAGGTTAAGATTGAAACGATTTTTTCAAATATTAAATATAAGTTAAGCAAATCATTGGCTTGCAAGCTACCTACATAGTTAACGTTAATTGTAGACTCCCACTTTTCCATCGTTTCGTTAAATATTCCCGCATTGTTGACGACTATGTCCAATCTCTTAAAGTGGTCTATACACGACTTGAATGCGTCTGAAAAATAATTACACAACATCATAATCTTTATGACGTTTAAGCTAGATGGAGAGAAATAGCCTATGCTTAGCTTCGCACCAAAGAGCTGGTATACGATGCACAGAGTTGGATATTTTTTTTTCGAGTTCAAAGATGACTTGAAAAACTGTCATTTTAGTGATTTCATTAAGTTAACTTTTTAAACATGACTATTTTACTCTAATAATGAGCAAAACAACAAATTAGTCATATATTACTAATTTCACTATTGCGTGGAAATAAAATTAG